AAACAGCTGATAAAAACATCACAATAATCCACAAGTAATCCCCACAATTCCAGTCCAATCTATTCATAGTATTGCTTTCTCCAGGGAAAAAGTCATCTCGTCTGAATAAGGAGAGAAATATGCACAGATCAAGGACTGTTTACAAGCGAAAAGAGTCCAAAACAGTTCCTAACAAAACCTGTCAGTGGATTTTAAAGTAAGAGGACAACAGGGGATGGACTCTTTTTTTTTACTGGAGGAAGCATTACTATGGATTTTTGCCAGAAGTGATGGTTTAATGATGGATTTGTTTCTTACAAACACCGTTTTAAACATTTCATTTTGAGGTGAACTATTCCTTTAATTATTTGCATAAAATGCAATTTTGCAATAACTTGCAGTTTTCATTCTTACAATTACTGATTCAATGAAATAGCTTTGTATTTTGCCTGTTATAGGACACAGATGTATTTTCTCCTCTGATCACAGGCAGGTTCCATCATCCAGAGGTGTTGGGTCTGGTGAAGAGTCTGAATGAGGAGAGAGCTAGACACATCGCTGCCAGAGGAGACAACGATACAGAGAAAACCACTGACACAATCTCTCACACACTAGTGACACCATGATCTCAGTTCAAATCAGGCAATGAAGCTACCTCCACACATCTGTACACAAGAGTGTTCATTTTGTCCAGATTAGCTGTGTTTTATTATAATCTTATTTAACTGCACAGAAGCATGGTTTGTGGTTGTTTGATGTTTGTGTCCTGTTTGTTTGAATGTTCTGCAGGAGTTTTGATAAAAATAGATAAATCTCTTTTATTCAAACTAAATGGAAATACTTTCAGAAATTGTTTTTCTGTTATTTGTATTTTGATCGTTTTACTGCATTCCAGTAATAGATGCTTTAATAGAAAATAATATTTTCTATCACTTGAAACTGATATTACTTTGTTAAACGCATGAAAGTGCAATGGAAATAATTCTATAATTATAACAACTTTCAAAATATGTTTGTGTGACTTACAACAGTGACTGACACTAAGAAAGTGGAAAGCAAAGCAGAAGCTACAAAAAGGATTCTCTATAAGCAACTCAAAGGTCAAAACTGAGCAGCATCTATCTTGTGAACATTTTTGCAGAGACTTTGCCGCACTTTACTGTTTTAGTGACTAAGAAACAGTAAAATTAATGTTCATTTTATGGTTTCTGATTACGATTCAGTTCACCTTATTTTCATGACTGATAAGCTGGGACTTTGTGACTTTGCAAAAAAATGTTTAATGACTAACGTTAATAATGAACGGCAGCTCAACACGGAGTATGAATTTGAAGAAAGATTTCGGCCAAAAATCCTATTCCTTAAAACAACAATTGACTTCAGTGTCAATGTTAAATATGTAAAGCTGCAACAAATTTCACACAAATGTATGAAGTTAAGAAAAAAACAGGATATAATAATGCTATACATTTTTGGTCAGTGACAATTCTGGTTACCAATACATTACAATTTAAATCAGGCATATTAGATAAGGTAATAAATTACAGTAAAATGTAAATCCTCATTCTTTAATTTGCTGTTTGCATCTGTTATCAGCAAATATGTGCTGTAGTTATGAGCATACAGCAAGAATAGAAACATAAGCACATTTAGGAAAACAGCCTAACATCTATTTTGTTAAACATTCTTTCAAGTACTTCTCTTAGGATTGTATATGCAGCCATTATATTTGGTCCTGGAAATGTATCATGCTTTGTTACAGTTAAACAATGTTGAGTTAGTATAAATAATAAAGTAATGCAGGACTACACCAAACACGGACTCCTCGAAAAATATACATATTTTGAAAAGAACTTAAAAGAATAAACACTCTCCACTTGGTTGTTTTCCTTCCATGCAAAAGTTACGAAATATTTAGCACGGATAATGCACCAACATGCATCTGAAAGGCATGTATTACCATGTTTTGGGCCCCTGGTGCCTCCAAACCATTAAGTATCATCAAAGTTTCACTGGTAGACCATTAAAACCCTTAGCGTTCACTGTTCCCAGTCACGTTATTAGTAGGGGTGTCCTGGGAGCTGGCTTGGGCCGCTGAAGACAGGACCTCTTCAAAACTGCCCGCACCTCCTGTTCCTCCAACCTTAGACTGCTCGCAACACAAAACTCTCATGACATTGGATAGTATGTTGACATTCAGGACAGTGAAGTTGAAAATGACCAATGATAAGCTGATCAATTATTAACAGCGCTGAACTAAGGGGCAAACCAAGCTACAGTTTGCTTGTTTGACCACTAATAAGGTCACTGTATGTCAGGCTTACCTTAATGTTTGAAACTGTGCTTTCGACTTTCTCCTCAAAGGACTTGAAACTAGGCGAGTTCCTGTGAAATAAAAATAGTTTAGTTTTATTTACCTATGTAATCAGTAAATCTGGTCCATTCAACTGCAGTCCTAAAATCCTCACCAGGTTGTAATGTAGATGCATGCAAGATGGTACAAGCAGGGATTACCATTATTTAAAAAAAAATTTTAACGCAACAAAACTACTATTTATTCATCTGACACACCAACACTCAATTTTATATACTGTATGTATATGTGATATATGATGTCACATGCATTTTTGTGTTGTTTGTATCCTAGAACATCACATTTTTTGGATGCTTTAAAAAGTTTCTAAAATGCAATAGTAGAACAAACATGCAAAGCAAGCTCTCACACACATTTACCTCATTGTAGGCATGCTCATTGACTGCCGTATAGAATAGCTGTCCCATGAAAGCATGGCCAAGCAAAAAAGAGGTTCGATCATTATCACGGACAAACAAGTACATTACAAATAAGACACATAAAATTGTGAATGATTAAAAGTTCTAGTTATATGTAAGTGTAGCCTGCAGCAGTGCATTTCACTACACCTACACTACCAAACGTTTGGGTTGGTAGGATTTTTTAAATGTTTTTCAAAGAAATCTCAGCATTTAATCAAAATAGCAAAACTATTAAAATTGTATAATATTAGTACAATTTAAAATTGTTTTCTATTTGAATATATTTTGAAATGTAATTTATTCCTGTGATACAAAGCTGAATTTTCAGAATCATTCCTCCAGTCTTCAGTGTCACATGATCCTTCAGAAATCATTCTAATAAGCGGATTTGGTGCTCAAGAACATTTCGTAATTATCTATTCCGAAAACAGTTGTGCTGCTTAATATATTTGTGGAAACAGCATTTTTGAAAAATAAATCTATAGTAACATCATAAATGTCTTTACTGTCACTTTTGATCAATGTAATATGTCCTTGCTGAATAAAACTACAAATTTCTTTCAAAAAAAATAGTTCTGACCTCAAACTTTTGAACTGTACTGTACAAGCTGGTGACTTTCTAATGGACAGTATAACAATCCCATATAGGTATAGATTGCTGTTATAATTACGCTGGATGTGAACAGGCTAACTGTACAGAACTGTGATCATTTTGCACTTCTTGTTTGCTATGCAAAGTGAGAACTTCCTGATAAAAATGGCTATCCAAAGAGGTTTTGCTATTTCTCTCACAAACTATATATATCAAAACAAGAGTATTACTTGCATTATTTGTTAACACATAAATAGTTAAATGAAAAGCAACACATGCTGAAACCAGTCATCTATTAAACAACTGCATGTAGTTAATGTGGGAGACAGAGAAATGATTGTGACTTTAGCTCAATATGGATTTGAACATGCATTGCTGATTAAAAACAAAAGTAAGACCTTATAATGCTACAGCAGTCTGAGACATTGAACCATTTCAGATCTCATATTATCTAATGAATTTATGGCTTTTTTTCTCAGAATCAGTTCAATTCAGTTGGACACGCATTGAAATTGTATTGAAATATTCATATTAGCTGTTCAGATACTTGAATACCTCTTCAAAACCATATTGATTATTTATGGAAACACTGTGTCTGAGTCCTGTCTTGAAGTCAGAGCACCATCACTGTTCTCATGTATCATGCAGATGCTAAAAGAAAGCAGCTATTGCTAATCTCTATCTGGGATATATAAACACAATATCTTACCCAAGAGAATATGACCTTTGGTGTGCATCAGAGATAGGGAAAGAACACTGTAAATAATTTTTTGATTATAGGCCATTCAACACAATTTTGGTCATATGAAACCCAAAACATATTTTGAGGAAATATAAAAAAAATATATATATATATATATTTTTTTTAAATTTCATAAATTCTTTTAATTTTAGAGAATTGTAATACAGTGGTCACAAAAAAAGTCTGGACACTTAAAAATGGAAATGGGAAAAATATTAAACCAAATGATGCTTGAACTTTTTTTTTTAGACAACTTTTATCCAAGTGGTGTCGTGTTTATTTTTTTTAGTAGATGTCTGAATTTAGTTTCCCTCAAGTTGACACTATAAATAATTTTTTTAATTTTATTTAAACAATTGTTCTGTCATGTTAAACCTTGTGAAATGTTTTGCTTTAAAAGTGTGCAATGGAATTCTAAATTCTAATGCAATGGCATTCATACATGTTTAAGTGTGACTTACAGTAAGTGTCCAAATACTTTTTAGGGCCAATGTATACTGGCTGTTAAATACTGCCAATTTGTGCCTTGTACAACAGGCTGAACAAAGCACTCAGCAATCAGCACACACACACACACACACTGCAGAATTTATAAGAATACTGATCATCATTTAAACAAAAATGAAAATTTTGACACTTTTTAAAGTATTGATTTGTCATATTAGCTGCATAAACAGTATGGACTGTAATCATGCTGTATGCTGCTATAGCTAGGAGCCAATAAGCTTGCAAGGCTAAACATTGTTCTTTGGATGTTCATTGCAAACGTGAGGTAGAAAACTCCCAGACACATGCAGAGAGATGGTGTCACACACTGGCAACCAAACACACATACCTCCTGGGATACAGTATCTGAAGGCCAAACATGCTGAAGTAAAATAAGGTAATGAGGTGTTGGATCTACATAAATATCCAATAACAGTAAAGTCAACACTATTTTGCTAACGCAAAAGCAGGAGTGAGTGGTCAATTAGAACTGGGCATCATGCATTGATTTTGATAATTCTTTATAATTAACTGATATATATCTATATATAACATTATGTGTAAATATGTATATACATATATGTGTGTGTATGTATTATGTATACAACACATACTCTATTTACACATTACAGTAAATTTTTAAATAATAAGATAATTATTATAAATACAGAGGAAAAATCTAAAATACATTACACAACATATTTTCCAACAACAAATTTTTTTGTTTGTTTAACGAATATATTTATTTATAAATTTTTACTGGGGGAAAAATCAGATTTTCTGCAGTGTTTAGGACTGCCATCTGTAAAGCATGACCATTATCAATAACACATTTTCAACAGGCAATCCTTTATCACCCTGCTGTAGATGTGGACACTTCTCTTTTACTGTTCTTTTGAAATGAAAGAATCTATTGTCTAAGAGTGTCTCAACCATCCAGGATCCAGTGAGGAGGAGCTGGTAAATTCTTCATGCCATCACAAGCTCTTATTTTTATGCCAGCTGGACATGCCCCCAATCTGGCCCACTGAAAGCTGCTTAAATGAGGCTTACGTAACACAAACATGCCACTCAAACAGACTGGCCAAAGTAAATGCCTCAAGACCACTGCCATTTCACTGTGCAACAATCACAGCGTGTGTACTATGCATTTGTGGGAGATTCCTGCAGAAAGAGGCAGAGGAGGAAGTGACATTGTACCTCATATCGCCGAACTTCCTGTTGATGGCATTGCCCAGGTTACTGAAGGCCACTGAGGTCCGCTGTCCTGCCGTGCTCAGGGTCTCAGACGTCTTTTTGTATCTGGCAGAACAGTACAAAACCAGATACTCTTACTCAGATATTCCTATCATAGATAAAATATTTCTCATAAATATAAAATTTGCACACAAACATACTTTTTAAATTTTTTTTAATTTACACAGTTTAAAACATATTCCATAGCAGAAATGGCCCTGGACTTACAAACCCCTGGGGGTTCACAAGGGTACTGCAGGGGGTTCGAGTTGATTGAAAGCTAATAATTAAACCAAATGTATAATTAAAATAAATATATGTGGCTGCACAATCTAAATAAAACTGAAAAGGCAATATAGCTTAGTGTGATTATCAAATGTCCACATTTGCATAATTTCTGTGCATAAAGGTTTAGTGTTTCACCAGTATTCTGCCAAAATAAAAGCTTTAGGATATGAAAATATGAAAGTGAAGAATTTAATACATGTAATACATAAATATGAGTACTGTTACTTGCAGTGTAAAATAGAATTTGCAAAAAATATATGATATATAAATTATAAGTGTCATTTTTTATTTTACAGGACAACTGTAATTTAAAAGTAATATATTTATGTAATTCATTATATCATTTTTTATACATTAACATTTTTATAAGAGGTAAAACAATATAACACCACCACCAAAAAGCCATATATACAGGCAGCACTATATATAAACAATTTGATAATAAAAACATTTGATAATAAACAATGTACTAAAAAAAGATTAATTTTTTAAATTTTAATTGCATGTGGCCACAGAGAACTATGAAAATGAAAATGTGTCAAATGTGTGTAAAAAAAAAAAAAAGTATATTAACTTCAAATATTAAAATCTCAAAGGGTTCTTCAAGAAAATATTTCGACATAAAAAAGTTTGGGAACCTTGGTGTAACTCTTTAGTGCATCTTAGAATACATTAAACATGACATTTAAATATTAGACATGTCAGTTCCCAAAGTGTTACCCTTAATCAACAGAGAACCATGAAAATGCAAATATGCCGTTACATTTTTTAAATTTTAACTCCTTTTAAATTAAAATATTATTAAAATCCCAGGGGGTACTTCGAGAAAATATTTTCTAATGGGTTTGACTGACAAAAAAGTTTGGGAAACCCTGGTCTAAATCTTTAGTGGATCTTAGAGCACATTAAACACGACATGCCATTTCCCAAAGGAGACTGAAGAACAAGAACAAACTTAGAACAAGTACAGGCAAAGAACAAAAAGGTGCCTTTTCGGAATTGTAGACAGGAAGAACTTCACTTTTTTTCTGTGATCTCATAGAAAACAGGAAGAAATGCTGCTTCAATACAGAGAATACAATAAGACAGTCTAAAAAGGGAACACTATGGCCATATGCTATGGAGTATGCTACCGATACTCTACAGTAAATAACATTTAGACATTTACATAAATGTATATGCTTAAACATTTGTTTATATGGTGTAAGAATGATTCCTACTCTTTGCTTCTTCCTAAATGTTCTCGGGTCTGTTGAGTGAGAATCCCGTCACATTTTAGACAGCAAGTTCATCTAAACCAGTCAACTGAAGTCACAGAAACTTCTTGACCCAAGATCTCTACATTTGTCAGAACAAAACTCCCACATTTAATAACATTTTACACATAGAGTATCCAAACCTGGCACATTCGGATCAGTCAAAAGTCTACAAAAAGCTTTGGTGTGTTCCTTACACACAAAGCAATGGTATGACATTGAAAACCTGGTATATAGTGCACAAGTCTGGATTACTTCTACAGTGATATTATGCTGTTTATATGTCATTTTTTCAGTGCTCGATCATCCCCATTTACCTTTATTGAATGGAAAAGTGTAAAGGTTTGGATTGGCATGATGGTAGTGAGTAAATCATGACAGAGTGTTCATTTTGGGCGAACTAGTCCTTCAAGTTGTATCATGCTAAAATGCACATTTCACAGTCCCAATTACAGTACGTGAGGTAAATCACATTGTACAATTACATGCTTTGTATAACAGCACATCTAGACTGACCCGAGACCAGTCTAGGAGCTGGAAATCTAGTCATCTGATTAACGTATGTTCAGAGACTCTCAGGCTAATGCAGGAAACATTCATATCGGTCAGCAGACGCTATCTGATCACTCTGTCCCTCTCAGCCCCGCAACCTTCTCATCATGGCAACTGTGACATGAGAAGGACTATTCATTTGAGATGCTAGTTACCATGTCACTGTAGTAACTGAATAACCAGGTGAACATGGGAATATAAACAAAGTCAGACTTATAACAGATTTAATTTTCAAAAAAGAATTGTTGTGAAGTCAGTTCACCACAGCTACTGTAAAAAGAATGACAACCAACTAAGAACCATTTTAAATCGGTGCAATAAAAAACATACCACTGTGGGGTTTGAAAATACCAAATACTCTTTATTAAAATAATAATAATAATAAAAACAATAAGAGCATAAATCATACACTTAAAGGAACAGTTCTCCCAAAATGAAAATGGTGTCTATATATACCCATAAAGTCATTCCAAACCTGCTTGCTGTCATTTATCCAACAAAAAAAGGAACATTTAACAATCTTCATGGTGCTTCTTTCATACAATGACCAAGCTGCCAAGCTCATGCATTTGTTAAATTTGATGTATCGTTTTCTCCTTATGATTAATTGTTCCTTTCTTGTATTATTGTAATTTGTAAAAGCATCTACTAAATTAATAAATGTTCTTCTGTTAGCATTAATTCACATAATTTTTGCGTATGAATGGTTTCTGTTCATCGTGCTTGTAATCTGTGTATTAATCTGTGTTATTCCTGAGGGTAGTGATAGTAAATGTGCATTACAACAGCGTATAAAGAGAACCAGAGATGTGCAGCTAGGATCAGTGCATAGAGACACAGTGACATTATTATCGTGCAGATGGGTTGTGTGCCTCAGAATGTCATTGTTTGTCTGGGTGAATGTGAACTGAAGCAGATATGGACCACACTGTGATGGCAATAACCTAAATATACATAGACAGAGCGGGAAACACCACTGTTTCAACATGCTCATTCAGATTGCAATTCATTCTCAAGAAGGAAGCTGGGTAATAAACAACAGGTCAATGTAAATGTTGTTCTTTTTTATGCAAAGTACTGGATTTTAATAAGAAAACAAAAATATTGGATGTGGTATACATTGTTAAATCATTATTGCACATACTGTTTGTGCTACAGACATACAATGCAACAAAAATACATGTCAACTCAGTGCTATTTTAGTATTATTTATATGCTACTATACTTTTTATTAATATTTAGAACTAGCTTTTATTTTGATATTTTCAGATTTCAATTTTAGTTTAACGTTTTAGTCATTTTGTTATGTGCTTTTGTAATTTTGTATCCTTTGTTTTGTAAATAATACTTTTTAAATATATTTTTATTAGTAGGTTTTATTTCTAGTTGCAACATTTCAAATTTTTGTTTAGTTTAAGTTGTTCATCTAATATTCATATTTTATTACAGCTTTATTTTAATTAACAAAAGTTTTAGTTCTAGTCAACTTTAATAACTATGTGTCAACTTCAGAAATATATACAATACATATAAGTATTTACATTCAAAATCTAAATATTCAATATCTAAAAAAATTATTTGGCTGTGAACTAAACCTTGAGCTACTTGTTTTGCTTGATTTTTCCGCAAAGGACCACCACTGATGTCTTGATGTGCATGATGCACCTGTTGTCACAAGCCAGAATGAAATATGACATTAATCACAAGGTTTAGCAAAGACTACTTACGCAGTGCTGGTCTGCATGTCGTACCAGCTCTTGGTGAAGTTCTGTCGCAGTTCACACAGGGGTGTGATCCCTAGTTTTTGTTTCAGCTCCAAGTGACGCTTTTCTTTGGAGGCCAGGACTTGTTTCAAAGTTGTGATTTCTTCTTCTAACTGACAGAAGGAAAATAAGTCAAGGCTGAGGGCTGAATCTTTTCATATTTAAATAACAGTTATCGGAACAACAGATAATTCAGTTCTAACATGAAGTGTCCACTCTTTTCTTTCTGTCTCATATGCAAACTGTTTCACATTTAATGCCTGGCTCAGTGGACCATGAAGATCTCGGAGGATAAAGTAGCCCAAGAAAAAAAAAATGGGAAAGCTTCGGTCACATGATTTACAATCATGGGTGTATGTTCCGAGATAATGCAGACCATTTGTGTGGCAACAGCACAGTATATTTCAGTAAATACAGTACAGTAGACAGGATCACATTTCAATACTAATTGCTTTAATATGACTGAAATCAACCTAACTATATTTTTACACTAATAAATGTCATCTTTAACTCCCATAACAGATAGAAATGGCTACTTAAGTGAACAGAGGCACATTTTTTTTTACTATTTAAAAGTGAGTCACAACATGCAAAGAAGGAAAATGCAGACAGATCTGCAGGATTGACATAATATGCAATCCGTCAGCTTGAGCTACTGCTGTAGCCTTCAAGTTCACAGACTAACATAGTTTCTAAGGATCATCCAGCCCATTTTGCTGTTAAAACACTGGGTTAAATACCTTAGTCAGTTCATTCTCCATTTCCTCTCGCTCCCCTTCTGTGACAGTGTTGTTGAGATCCACCTCTGATACCATGTCCTCATCCACTTCCTTTAGAGGCTCTTTGTCCAATAAACCTGGAAATAAATGTACAAAAATAGCAGAACAATGGAATTTATTGTTAACATGTCTCAATCAAATGGACAAATCTTTGAGCACACATTCTTTGTGATTTGATTTCAGAGAAATAACTTGTGTAAAGTCAATCAACCATTTCTAAAATCTTAGAATTATTTAGCTCAAAAGGTTTTGAGTCTCAAAAACTCATTAAAACACAAGGGTACAATTTATATACTTGAAGGAAAAGTTTACCCAAAAAATTATTCTATATTTATTTATATATTCAGAAATCATTCTGGTATGCTGATTTGGTGTTCAAGAAACCTTTCTTTTTATTATTAGTTGCTATTTTTAGGTAAACTAAGACACAATTTCAACCATTATGTCTTAACAGGATTTGCACTATACAGAAACTACCCTTCAGTCAGCGTGACAACAGCAGTGAAGCCTTTAAACAGATTTAACCATCACCTTCCCGGTGTAATTATCCTGCCTCTCCCCAGAATGAAGGTGTATTTGCAGTTATAATGAAAGGTTGTAGAATGTTACAAGCATTATGGCAGCATGTTTTGAGGCAACATAAGGCTGATTTCAGTCTAAAGCACCTCATAACAGCTGACACACAGAGACTAGAGAACGGAACAGCAGTATTCTCTTATGCATTTGAGGATTTAAGCTGAACTTAAGCAAAGAGAAAAGGACATGAAAGTAGGAATGTGGTTTGATTATCATACCTATGACTGAAAACTCAATCCAGTTCCCCAAAATCCCTGCAAAATCACTCACTCAGGACACCATTATGTGTTTCAGGTTCATTTCATTGCAATACATGCCTGACATGACTTACATAAATCAATATTTTACATTAGTGTTCATCTGAGAGTGACATTTTATTGAAAGTATAGCATATATGTAATGATAATGCTAAAACAAACTCAGACACGTTTTTAAAAAAATGTGCAAACACCTTGTTACATTTATAATTAATTTATTCACTCAAAAACTCCATGTGCTATAAAAGCATTATGTTGAAGAGTCTAAAACACACTCATGATGCACCTGTTGTCACAAGCCAGAATGAAATATGACATTAATCACAAGGAAGAGCAAAGACTACTTACGCAGTGCTGGTCTGCATGTCGTACCAGCTCTTGGTGAAGTTCTGTCGCAGTTCACACAGGGGTGTGATCCCTAGTTTTTGTTTCAGCTCCAAGTGACGCTTTTCTTTGGAGGCCAGGACTTGTTTCAAAGTTGTGATTTCTTCTTCTAACTGACAGAAGGAAAATAAGTCAAGGCTGAGGGCTGAATCTTTTCATATTTAAATAACAGTTATCGGAACAACAGATAATTCAGTTCTAACATGAAGTGTCCACTCTTTTCTTTCTGTCTCATATGCAAACTGTTTCACATTTAATGCCTGGCTCAGTGGACCATGAAGATCTCGGAGGATAAAGTAGCCCAAGAAAAAAAAAATGGGAAAGCTTCGGTCACATGATTTACAATCATGGGTGTATGTTCCGAGATAATGCAGACCATTTGTGTGGCAACAGCACAGTATATTTCAGTAAATACAGTACAGTAGACAGGATCACATTTCAATACTAATTGCTTTAATATGACTGAAATCAACCTAACTATATTTTTACACTAATAAATGTCATCTTTAACTCCCATAACAGATAGAAATGGCTACTTAAGTGAACAGAGGCACATTTTTTTTTACTATTTAAAAGTGAGTCACAACATGCAAAGAAGGAAAATGCAGACAGATCTGCAGGATTGACATAATATGCAATCCGTCAGCTTGAGCTACTGCTGTAGCCTTCAAGTTCACAGACTAACATAGTTTCTAAGGATCATCCAGCCCATTTTGCTGTTAAAACACTGGGTTAAATACCTTAGTCAGTTCATTCTCCATTTCCTCTCGCTCCCCTTCTGTGACAGTGTTGTTGAGATCCACCTCTGATACCATGTCCTCATCCACTTCCTTTAGAGGCTCTTTGTCCAATAAACCTGGAAATAAATGTACAAAAATAGCAGAACAATGGAATTTATTGTTAACATGTCTCAATCAAATGGACAAATCTTTGAGCACACATTCTTTGTGATTTGATTTCAGAGAAATAACTTGTGTAAAGTCAATCAACCATTTCTAAAATCTTAGAATTATTTAGCTCAAAAGGTTTTGAGTCTCAAAAACTCATTAAAACACAAGGGTACAATTTATATACTTGAAGGAAAAGTTTACCCAAAAAATTATTCTATATTTATTTATATATTCAGAAATCATTCTGGTATGCTGATTTGGTGTTCAAGAAACCTTTCTTTTTATTATTAGTTGCTATTTTTAGGTAAACTAAGACACAATTTCAACCATTATGTCTTAACAGGATTTGCACTATACAGAAACTACCCTTCAGTCAGCGTGACAACAGCAGTGAAGCCTTTAAACAGATTTAACCATCACCTTCCCGGTGTAATTATCCTGCCTCTCCCCAGAATGAAGGTGTATTTGCAGTTATAATGAAAGGTTGTAGAATGTTACAAGCATTATGGCAGCATGTTTTGAGGCAACATAAGGCTGATTTCAGTCTAAAGCACCTCATAACAGCTGACACACAGAGACTAGAGAACGGAACAGCAGTATTCTCTTATGCATTTGAGGATTTAAGCTGAACTTAAGCAAAGAAAAAAGGACATGAAAGTAGGAATGTGGTTTAATTATCATACCTATGACTGAAAACTCAATCCAGTTCCCCAAAATCCCTACAAAATCACTCACTCAGGACACCATTATGTGTTTCAGGTTCATTTCATTGCAATACATGCCTGACATGACTTACATAAATCAATATTTTACATTAGTGTTCATCTGAGAGTGACATTTTATTGAAAGTATAGCATATATGTAATGATAATGCTAAAACAAACTCAGACACGTTTTTAAAAAAATGTGCAAACACCTTGTTACATTTATAATTAATTTATTCACTCAAAAACTCCATGTGCTATAAAAGCATTATGTTGAAGAGTCTAAAACACACTCATCATGATAAAAGTGAAAGGAAAAACTAAATCTTACAATAGCTAGAAAATGAAAGCTCACATGATGAAGCACTAATGCATTTAATATGGCACCAGTAATATGAGCACATGTTAAGGTTGTTTTTGTCCACAGGGAAACGAGAGTCACATCTCAGAAGTCTGGTCAGTCATTACACGAGAAACTGATTAGAGTGCTGTGGCATGAAACGCGTGATACACTTTTAGTGGCTAATGCAATCAGCAGGTAGAAGAGCAGAGCTGGACGGTCTAAGCACAGAAAAGTGCTCAGGAATGAGATCTCAGATTCATCATTTACACCACACACAATGGCTTGTACAGCAGATCATATCTATCTGTTTGCAACTAAAGCAAAAGAGTGCATTGGTTGCAAGAGGAAATTGACACGATAGAATCAGAATATGTATGTTATGCATTTACAGTTTTCTTCATTTGTCTTTCAACTATTTGCTATTTTCACATAACCCATTTGGATTTGCAGGTCATATAAAAACCGTTTCATTTTGAAGAAGCAATAAAATAGTGCAAATAAATATCGGCCTGTAAATTTCACATAGTTATTTAGCACGATTCACTAAAAACATTCTCCATCAATGTTTTATTTATTAAAAATAAACACAATTTACATCTCATATGGACCAACAGTTACAAATTTTGATTTTCTAAGCACATATTAACATATGTTATTAGTTGTGAATTATATTTATTAGTATTATTATTATTATTATTATTTACTTGTGAATAATCTGATGAATTAGTCAGCATATCACAAATGTTTTTAACTAGTTTTTAACCGTTTTATTTTGGTGACAGCCTTACTTTGGACAAGCTAGCTTTGACTGTTTCAGTTTTGGTCTAGATATTTAAATGTCATTATGATGGAAAAAAAAAAAAGTTTAAAACATGGAGCATGAACACGTCCTGTGTGGCTGACATTTAAAATATAAAAACAAGCAATATGGCATTGGCATATCAGAGTCTCGGCATGTTCTCAAAAAAAACAACACATATATATAACCGATATAAAGACATAAACACCAATATACCTTCACATAGCACATTACTGCTGACATTACTGTACGATTACCCCACTGTGTCTGTAAGATGTCAACACTGTTTATTTACTTATAAGAATAGATAGAATAGATTTCTTGATACAGATTTAAACCGAAGGTTGGATCTTTGAGCATAACATAATATAAAGGCAATTATCTCAGTTCCACAGCCTCATTCTTCAGGTTGCCTAGCAATTTTCTTGATGCCTAGCATCAACCTCCCAATCATCCCATGAATCGGATTCCCTAAATCTATTTAAGGGTCTGCGTCTTGAATAAGAGGAAGTACAGACGATCCTTTTCGTGTTAAATATGTAAAATAATTTCCATTCCATTAAGTTACTACTGTCTATAACCACTGAGCTAAATCTTTGTTGAAGGTTTATTACTGGAAAAGAGAGCGGTGAGATATTAAAATGGTTCATTCAACAACACCAAGATGAATTGCTGAGACATCTATGATTTAAGCCAAGATCCTTTGAAAAGATAATGTTATGGTACATTTCAGAGGGGGAAAAAAACTATTAGTTTTGAAACTAATTTAAATAATGACAAGGTTCCTGCATGCTGAAATGATTCTGATAAAACCAGATCCTGATGGTAGTTTCTAGATGGTTCATATACTGGGTTAAATAAGCCAGGCTGTTAGCCAGTGCAGCTTAGACTGACCTTGAATGTAAACCATTATTTTTAACCCATCTAGGAACCTGGTTGAGCTGGTTAACCAAAGACAAGATGATGTGGTTGGTCATCTAAATCTGTCTTCTTTCATCAGATAGCTTAAAAAACATATGGTAGGAATAATTCTTTCGAGTTGGTTCTTTTTTAATGAATTGGTCAAATCTGTTTAAATGAACTGCTCAAACAAACCAACTTCATATCACTAGAAATGACAGGAAAATGCAATCTTTGCAGATAAGCCTTTCAATATTTTCTTTCTGGGGTTAGTTGTCTATTTTTGTAATTAATGCATGGGCTAATCAGTTTATCTTTCTCATGTTCTTCTGTCTGGGTGAGTGAGTCAGAGTTGTGTCATGGTGTTCGGTGTGTCATCGGACTAACCAAGTGTCCCTTTAGGGCAGTGTGCTCAACAGTTCAGCTTCGTCAAGCTCACTGGACTATGCATCCAGTTCTCTCAATGTCTTCATTTTGCTTCCCGACGACGCAACAGATTCACAAAGAATCACTTCACTGTTCTCAGAGAAAGATTTCAATGTGAGGAGGAGAAGGGCATTCTTATTTTCATCAGATGAACAAAACACCTATTTCTGATCACCCACTGATAGAAATGAAAGACAAAGGCATTCAAACCAAGACCAGAGATGATCGAGAAAAAAAAAATTAAGGAAATATTATATACTATTTTAATCTTGTCAATCTATGTACTGTAAAACAGTGCTGTCAATTAATCAAACTTATTAAATCACAACTACCTCATAATTTTTATATAGTTAATCTGTTAATGCATTCAGTTACCTGCCATGGAAATAAAACTAAATAACAGGCCTCTGTGTAATTATTAGGTTCAGTATTTTGTGTAAATAACTTTTATAGTGTACATTTCTGCAAGTGGTATTAGTCTCAATGACACACACACACACACACACACACACACAAAAATCTCACACTTGTATCTAAACAGTGAATCTATAATACAAATCAGCAAAAATTCTATAAAACAAGATAAATAAACATTAAAACCAATTGCACAAGTTAGTGTTATATTAGTATTATTTATATCGTATTACTGTGTTTATTCATATTTTGAATGAGCTTTTATTTTTAGATATACATATTTTTTATTTAATTTTAGTTTTCATTTTTCATGTGTTTTTGTCATTTTTATTAGTATTTTAATATTTCTATTTAGCTTTAATACGTTTTTTTCAGGTTTAGTGCTAGTAATTTTAATACATCAACTTACAAATGGTTTTAGTTTTAATTAACAATAGCAATGCTGGTGCTATCAGGCTAAGTTTGACGGCACTACTAACAAACAAAAAGTCCCAATAAAGTGTTTTCAGTGACAAATGGAAGAAATCCTGTTTTTTCACTATATAACTCCATTTCAATAATGCAAGCACTATCTATTTGGAGCTTGAAATAAAGCAGTATAATTCAAGGGCATGGTTTCAGTGAAGCATTGCGTAATTTCTGGCCTTGCTGGAGTAATCTGAGGGATTTATTCTTAGTGATTATCTGACTGGATTTAATTCCGTCTGACTGCTGCACAGAGACACAAGTATTTAGTGACTGGCAGGAAATTCCACATGGTGACCATGCAAAGTGGGTTGTTTTTAACCCCTTCGGAAATCTATTTGGAGCTTGAAATAAAGCAGTATAATTCAAGGGCATGGTTTCAGTGAAGCATTGCGTAATTTCTGGCCTTGCTGGAGTAATCTGAGGGATTTCTTCTTAGTGATTATCTGACTGGATTTAATTCCGTCTGACTGCTGCACAGAGACACGAGTATTTAGTGACTGGCAGGAAATTCCACATGGTGACCATGCAAAGTGGGTTGTTTTTAACCCCTTCGGACTCCGAGTCCATTGAAATGGACATCACATGATGTTTTGTTTAAACCAATAAAATTTTATGTTTTCATAATATGAGCAATGCCTTCTTATATGCAGATGTATGTATGTTTATGGTAGCATCATCAACTTGCACCTATTATAAAATTAAGACTATCAAATGAAAATATTCAAAGTTATTTTGAAGATCTTTCAGAGTTGCAGAACACAGGATTAAAAAAAATTAATTATTGTCCATCGCAATGGACATCAGGTCTTGAAAGATATCAGCAGCACCTCATGAATTAGTTGTAGAACAGGTTGAGAAATTTGTGGAAGCATTTCAAATCTAAATACAGAGCTACAAATTCTAATGTTAATGTTTTATGAACATTGATGTTAATTAATGAAACTAAAATGATTTCATTTATGCCATCAAAGTGACTATAGCCTGTCAATCAACTTTTCATTGGTTTTAGTGAGAAACAGCCATAGTGGATGTGACATCAGTGAATACACAGCAACACACACACTCACACCCCCTCCACACACACTGATGCCTTGATGCTATAATGCACACAATCATATATTTATCAAAACAATCAGCAAGTACACATAAACCCATTCACATACACACAAAGACATTTATAATATACTCAGATTCACCCACTTCAACCAACAAAAAGGATCAAATAGGTTTTTTTGAGACTTCATATCATCTTACCTTTTTTCACATTTTTACTGCATTGTTCATTCTTATAGTATGTGTTCTTTGTTCATTCTTATAGTATGTAGTCTGAACACTAGTTCAACTATAGTGCACAAGCTCTACTTATTATGTATGGTTAAAATATGGGGATTTTTAAAAAATTTTCTTCAGTCCTGGAGTCCATTATAGTGGACATGAAAAAATCTAATAATAAAATGAGTTGGCATAAATCTTGTTTTTTTTTTTTACTTATTTCTATATTGGAGAAGAGCGAATATCAAGTGGATAAAAAAAAATTGTTCAGTGAAAAAAATTCAGGTCTGAAGGGGTTTTAAAACTCAGCTAAGCTACAACCTTCAGATGAAATTAGATGTTTCGGAGACCTACCTGCATGGAAAGTCTCTCGGTCTTCTGTGGTTCAGCAAATTGAAAATAAGGAGAACATTACATGATCTGATTCATGAGCTGGTGCACCATGTCCAAGCAGATTACAAATGACAAAAAGGCACTCAAATCTCACAAGAACATGCAATCAGGCAGGCTGCATTCAACAGCAAAGAAGTGAAATGAGATGCACCATATAATTCAAAAACAAAATGTACACAGACATGCGTATCAAACCCATGTTGTCTCATTAAAGGAACCTCAACATGGCAATGGCATGCATTTAAAGCACAACAAAGGGTCTGTCAATCAAATAATGTCACAATTCTAGGGTTTAGCAGTGTCTACAAGTTTGGAATGTGCTAAAGCCTTTGACATGGCTGTCTAATTCCATCTAAAAGCACCTATGTCAAAGAGCTACACACAACTCAGCACCCATCAGCTCAGAGGTGGAAATGAGTGATCTACATGGCTACAGAGGTTAGGTTTGTCACATTCACTTTCATTAAATTACACAGCAAGCTCTTACCCCAGTCTACTATTGCTTCAGGAGTCAGTACGCTAGAATACAGCTCTGTGGAGTACGATTGGCAAAACAAACAAGATATTAAAGTGCGATAAAAAAATGGAACATATATATGCATTGACTTTACTGCTTATAAATATTTAAATGCATTAATAACTTTAAACTATAACTACATATAAATATACTTTAAATTTTTTTTTACTATAGCTTAACTTTGTTACTGTTTGTTTCTTTACGTTTACTGTTCTATACTAAAAATGTTTGGTCATTAAACGTGCAAGGTATACTATTAATTCATTGATTATCACTGGTCTTGTTGGTGCAGGTGATGGTCTTTGCCTAGATATCAAACGGTGTACCAAAGTGTGTTTACAACACTGACATTGTTTCTGATAATTATATGAAAAAAACAACAACCTTGCTACGTGTACTGCTTTAGGCTAACCGAGACTTGTCAGTTGCGCTTATATATTGTTGCTCTTTTGTTAGTTTTGATTGTTTCTATTGTCCTCATTTGTAAGTCACTTTGGATAAAAGTGTCTGCTAAATGACAATGTAAATGTAAATATGACTTTTCATTGCCTAACCCTGTCATTAGAGCATTGGTGGTATCTGGTGCCAACAGGATGCCTATACTACTATACTGTACAGTTTTCTTTAGTTAAAGACCAGCCAATTCACTGGCACTACCACTGGAACATATCTGGTCACAAGATTTCAATTATTTAGCTCTGGACAGTCACGTGGAAATGAAATGGGAAGGTCACGTGGTTGTCCAGAGCATTGCACTTGAGAGAGAGAGGGAGAGAGAGGCATCCAATTCCCTCATTTGTTTACATGTTTTGACAATAGTTCCTGCCTAGAAAACTTGATCACAAGTCTGGCTTAAGTTCATGCACCTCGTTAGAATGAAGCCTACATTAACTAGAATAGAGAAACATGTACATATGACTCAAGTAGCCTAATATTTATATTAAAATATTAATATTAGGCTGTTAGCTGTCTAGTTATCTGTTCTAATCTATTTTTCTGGTATGCACAAATAAAATCAGTATAACATAACGTGCCTCTTCAATGAAGGTCTACTCAAGTTATTCGAGGATACACAAGAAAGTGAAACCATATTTGCAGACGTATTCAAGAACATTTACATGCACAAGTATGTTTACAGAATAATAAGACATGAAAGTGTTTGGAAAGTAAGCTCACCCTGTTGTCTGGACTCCATATCAGCGGTACTGTGCAAATGCAGGTCCAGTACACATTAACAGCACCTCTCAGTTCAGAGAAATATCCCGTCCAGCGTCCAACACAAGCGCTCCACACAAGCGCTCTCTGCTCTCAAAAACCCGCCTATTACCGGGGCCGCTTCAGCCACAGACCAATGGGAACAGTTCTAATTAGCATATTCTAATTAAATAATACATGTCATGGTAAATGTGTAAGATATGCAGTGTTGGGGGTAACGCATTACAAGTAATGCGAGTTACGTAATCAGATTACTTTTTCAAGTAACTAGTAAAGTAACGCATTACTTTTTAATTTACAAGAGAATATCTGAGTTACTTTTTTTTCCCAATGTATTGATTGACAGCTCTCCTGTCCCCATGTTGAGAGAAATCAGAAGATGTTACTGTAGTTCTAAAATAGATATGGATATGCATTAATTCAGCTCACTCACAAAAAACAAACAAACAACAAAAAAAACACAGATTCAGTATTCCTCAAAATGAATAAAAATAATGCAACTCAGAATATGACGCAAACCTGCAATAATTAAATGTTAAACAACACAAATATCCTTTATGTATTTAATCCCATTCTATTAACCAATGTCTTTGCTTCTGACCTTCGATGATCCAGTTCAACCATACTAATAAGCAAAAATGACTCTAGACAAACATTTGTGTGTCTTTTTTATTGCCGAAGTGTGTTAAAATGTCTTCTTCTGCACTCTACTGTACGGACGTATATTTACTTTCCCTTCAGCCTGAGGCTTATTCATTTCACTTTTGGTGTGAAAAGGCTTTTATATTAGCCAAAAATATTACTTTTTATTTTAAAAACAAACAAGCAAGCCCTGTCCAGAGATATATATACATATATATACATACATATACATATACATATATATATATCTTTGGTCTTTAAGTAGGAACTTACACATATTATTACTAATTAGAACTGTTCCCATTGGTCTTTAATTTTAATATATATCTATGAATATATATAAATGATTAAAGACTACAACGGCTGACCGTTTCCTAAAGCACGTTACTTGCATCTTGGGAGTTGTAGTCCCTATTTGACAAACTGTTATCAACCCTTGAATTTTTTATACAACTTCGAAATCCAAGTTTAACTGTGTGCAATTTATATTGTAAAACAAAACGGCTAAATCGATTACCCCAGTCACAGACCTTATTCTCAAAAATCCAAAACAGGTATTCTTCAAACCCAAATGAAAATCTAGAGGG